AGCACTGCCAGAGCAGCGGCTGAAAGCTATTCCTGTCCAATAGATGCCTACATGTCATGACTTGAATGGTCTCAGACCCTGAGACAGGACTTTGTATGAGTCCTATCCCCAGGCATAGCTGACCTCTTTGGTAGCCATCTCATAGAGAGAGGTCAAGGACTGAACATTATCTTTGAACAGCCCCCGCCCCCCCGCCCCCTTGCACAGCTAGGGGTAACCCTAAAGACTTAATGATAAACACAACTTGAAGGCCAGCCTGCATTTGGATTAGCCATTGGCTTCTGTTTCAGGGCTGCTCGAAAAGCTTTTAAAACAAAATACTATATTTTCTTGCATATAACCTCCACCTTTACCCCCAAAAACCAACTGGTGGAAACTGAAGAGCACATTACATGCAAGAAATATGGATCCCGCATGGGTCTGGAAATTTGGCAGCAGGGGTATGGTGGCATCTTGGAGCCACAGCAACTACCACTTCCGCTGCTCCTCTGCTTCCAAAGTTTAGCATTTACGGGGACTGGGTGACATGGCTCCACGTGCTGGATCAGGCCGGTGCACAGGGTCAGTCTGGAGCTGGATCTGGCACATGAGATTGAACCCAGTGCATATGCGGTGCATCAGTTCAGTCTGGGGATGCCATCCAGTGTGCAGAGCTGGCAGCAGGCTTGGGGCAGGCTCAGCCCCCTGCCTGCTGCTACTCAGTTACTACACACTGCCTTGCAAAAACACGATGTGTGTTATACACGAGGGCGTGCTATATACGAGAAAATACAGTAAATGCAACCAATCCTGAAACTTGCTGGATTCTGTGCTGTCCTCAAGCATAAGAAAACCCACATCCTTTTCAGGTTAAGATCAGCGTGCACAGGCGCACACCACCATTTGTTTACACTTCAGCGACACCCAGCAGCATCCAGATTGGTGTGACATTTGCACTAGGTGTTGCACATAATAAAAGACAGCCCTTCATCCAAAGCAGCAAAGAAATGTTATCCCCAACCTGGTTTTAGAACGAAAACCAAGGGGCTTTGTGACTTGGCCATGTTCATGCAGGTTTCTGGCAATGCTCGGTAATGGACTTGTTATCTCAAGAGTCTCAGGCTAATGTCTCCACCCGTTCTTTCGATGACCCTGGTTTTTATAAAGATCCCTGTAACAGGGGGATGAGGGGTGCTGCTGACAGCAATGACTCACCATGAAAGGATCTGAAGTTTCTCTCCCTTGACCATCTCCAAGTCTCGGTCGCTCATGGAGGTGAAGTCATACAGGGCAATCACAATGTGGTCCTCTGCAGAGAGAGAAGGTGACACAGTGGGTCCCAGACTGTCCTCCTTGGAGGCAAGGACTGAAGCTTGAGGTGTGTGAAAATCAGTGCTCCCCACACTCTCTACCCCTTTTCCACAGCCATTGTGAACAACCCCTCTGTCCTCTCAATGATTTCAGACCACCAAGTGAATCTTCCCTTGGCTCTCGAGACTACATAGACGTTTTGCTGAGGCTTTCTACAAAGCACTTGAGGGGCCCAGCCTTTCTCTTCAGTCCTCTCAACTCAGATTCTCCTCCAGGCTTTCATTGCCTCATGCCTGGACTTTGACAGGTTCCCCCTTTCTAAGCTGAATAAATGCCATCTTTCCCCACTCAAGAGGCTCAACCCCGTGGCCCTAGGGCTGTAATCCCCTCCTGACTGCCCCTGATTTCTGTGGGGTTTAGAGGAAGCCCTCAGACCTGTTAAGAACCAGAGTTGGTAAGTGGGCCTGATTTTCCACCAATCTGTGATGCAGTCTCATATGTATTCAGGAGCTGGATAGACAGGAAAAGCCTAGTGTACTATTTGGTTCCTAGCAGAGGAGACTTGACCAGGGACAGATGGAGGATTTGGCAAAGGTAGATGCAGGAGCAATCTGCCAGTGAGGGCAGACCGCACTGCGGGAGCCTCTGAGGACTTTTTTTAAAGTCCCCAAGGCAGATAGGAAACCTCCCCTTCCCCTCCATTCTCAGAAGCATTCGCCATCGCCTCGCCTTCTCCCCATCCCTTTTTCCCACTCTCCACCTGCCACTGCTGCTTTCCTCCCAGTCCCACGGGTGGAGGAAGCTTCAAGGCTGCCCCAGCCCACTTCAACCAGGCTATGTGGGGGCTGGCTCAGTGACAGCATCCCAGTCCCCACCTCTGCAACAATAGGCAGAGGGGGGAATGGGATCCCCCAACCTGCCCAGTCCACGGGAAGAAGGTGTGAGGAGGGCAGACCCCTCTGCCCATATCTGCTGCCGCTGTTGCTGTCCCCAGCTGAGCCCAGCCCTAGCAGCGTTGAAGATTGTCTGCCTCTGGGACAATGGGGAAAGCAGCAGTGGGGGGACTGGGAGGGAAGAGGAGAGAAGAGGACATGTCTTTGGGCATGGAGGGGAAGAAGGGGGATTCTTACCTGTTTTGGGGACTTAAAAAAGTCCCATAGGCTCCCCAGATGCAGCACAGTCCAATCTGAAAGAAAGGTGCCTTCGCACCATTGCACCCCCTCTGGGCCTGCCCCCGGACTTGATATAGTAATAATGCCCTGCAGGGTGGATCCTTTATCAATGAAACACATGGGGCTGCTTAATTGCTTTGTTTCCATGCCCTGTGCCAACTATACCACTGCTTCCTTATCATGAGTGTGTAACTGGTCATGTGTGCACTGGGTGGTTGCAGGTATTGAAGCAGAAAGGATCGCTGCTGTCATGATATCTTGGGCAAATCAAGCCTTACAAGGAGCATCAGTCAAAGTTTTTAGCCTGTGTGCAGCCTAATGAAAGCAGCACAAGTGATAGGCGGGCTATATTTAGGAGGCTCTCAAGGCACATCGTCAGGCCCCATGATCTTTCCCTCTCTGACCTTTTCAAATAATGCCACCAGTGAGCAACCCAGGCTCACCCGTTTCACTGCAAGATAATACCTCTCTGGAACAATGCACGTTTTGTGTGTGCAAGGCCTGGCTGCTTTCTATTTGAGACTTGATTGGAGATGTTGTGCGTGCAGAGGAGAGGGGGGGGAAAAGCAAGTCTTTGTAAACCAAAGGCCAGAGCAGCTTCCTCCAGCTTGTCTGCTGGGGAATGGGACTTGGAGGTGGATAGGTAGACCCAAATGACTCTCAGCTTCATTCAAGCTGCCTGAGTGGGCTAGAGAAAGCTTGGAAACTTAATCATGCATGGTTGCGGATCTCAAAAACACTCTCTGTGGGTGGATGCCATGCCTCCTAACGCCTTTGAGATAATATTATTACATATTCTCCCTCTTTATGCATAATCAGGATTGTGTGAGATCAGGTTCACCTGCTCCACAATTTACAGGAGACGGCACTGCCTGTGATTCTTAATGCCAAGTGCCAGGAGGCTGTTAAATAACCTCCCAACTTCCAGGGTGTGAATAGCTTCAGGCAGAGAAGGTACTAGCTTTACCCCTGCTGCAAGAAATGCCACCAAAAAGGTTGTGGGACTGAAGTGCGCTCCACGACAGGGTGGACTGGGCTCTGTAACTCTGGTCAGCAGCCAGCCTAGGCACGGAGCCCCGATAGACAGAGAAATGCAGGATCTCCTTTACTTCGGCAGCTCATGCAGCCAAGCAGGATCTGGAGCCAGCTTCCAAGGGAAGTGGTGCTGGCTCTGACCTTAGGGGTCTTTAAAAGGAGGCTTGGTTACTACCTAGCTGGGGTCATATGAGCTTAACTTAGTGGGGATCATATGAGCCCAGTATTCATTCCTGCCCATGGCAGGGGGTTGGACTTGATGATCTGCTCAGGTCCCCTCTGACCCTACATCTATGAACCAATGAATTTACGAATCACACATATGAGCCTCTGCCTTTCCTTTGGATTAAACCAGCAAGGCCCAAAGGGGAGCACTGGTGTGCAGGCACCTAATGTCTCCCACTACCCAGGCCTCTGCATCCTGGAGAGGTCGCTCCAGCTTCACTTTATCTTTCAAATGAGGATTCAACACAGGAGGTAACAGGAGCGAATTATAAGTCCCATTTGTTTGGTGAAGAGAGAAAGGCTATGGGTTGTCTTTGTCAGTAGAAGAGATTATTTCATCTCATTGATCAGCTAGCTATTACATGTATGAACGCTGGGCAGCCCTGAGCCAGTACCTCACCCCACATTCAGGACTGTTGGATATTAATTCCCCATGTGATAAGTAAGGAAGTGACTGTCATGCAAGAATTTGGCTCTATCACAGATGTTTAATGAGCTGATGCAGCACTCAGCACAAATCTCCTGCCTTGCGAGACAGATAGATGCCTATGTTAGTCTATGCATAATGAGTAGCACCGGTGCAAAGGTCTGCTTGTTGAAATAGTTGGACTTATCCTTTTACTCCTGCTCCATTGGGCACTGGAAGACTTTGCAAATCTCCCAGAATCCACAGCTTCAGAGAACTGTGCAGCACCCTGGGCAATAATGATGGGGTCCTGTGTAGACCAGGAGTGGCCACCGTCTGGCACGAATGCCTCATGGCCCAGGCAGCCTGTGTGTGGCATGTGGAAGATAACGGAGGAAGCAGGGCACACAGCCATCGATAGGGCAGGAAGCAGAAATCAGAACAGCAGATGCGGCAGCGATCACAGGACAGGAAGCAGAAAGCAGAGCAGTAGACTGGGCAGAAAAAGGAGATGGGAGTGGCACTCAGGAAGGGTGTAGGGCTAATCTGTGGCACGCCTGCCAAAAAGGTGGCCCCCCATTGGTTTAGACAGTGGTAACATGGATGAGAGGCAAGGGTGGGTGGCTGGGTGAGGCTTGTTGCTAATCACTAATGGTTACTTATCACTAATCACTGTTGCAGTTCACTAATATCTTCATCACTGATTTGGATGATGGGATGGAGTGCATGGTAAGTAAATTTGCAGCTGACATCAAGTTGGTGGGTTTGCAGACACCCCACAGGGTAGGGCTAGGATGCAGATTGACCTGGACAGACTGGACAAATCATCCAGAATCAGTCAAATATGATTTAAGAAGGACAAACGCAAAGTCCTGCACTTGGGACAGAATCGTTGCATGCACAAATGCAGACAGGGAATGACTGGCTAGGCTACAGCATTGCAGAGAAAGACCTGGGGTTATGGTAGACCAGCGGTTCCCAAACTCTGACAGATTGGGCACTGCCAATTTAAAATGATACGATCTTAAGTACCACCAGCAATATTTTTCAGTTCACTCTTAAGTACCACCAGCAAATTTTTGTCACAGAAAGTGACTATAATAAATTTGTTACTGCGTACCACTGACAGGTTGTCTGTGTACCACTGGTGGTACCCATACCACAGATTGGGAACCGCTGCGGTGGACCCTAAGCAGAATATGAGCCAACAGGGTGCTCTTGTTGCAATACAAGTGAGCAGCATCCTGGGCTGTATTAATCTGATTGTCACTTGTAAACCACGGGAAGTAACTCTTCCACTGTATTTGGCACTGGTGAGTTTTAGGCCCCCCACATTTCAAGAAGGACGTGAACAGTTTGGAAGGAGTCTGGTGCAGAGCAAGAACAATGATTAGGGGTCTGGGGGGCAAGACTTATGAGGAAAGGCTGAAAGAATGAGGGTTATTTAGTCCGGAGAAGAGAAAACTGAGGGGGGATTTGACAACAGTCCTCAAATCCCTGGAGGATGATTACAGAGAGGATGGAGACGGGCTTTTCTTTGTGACCACAGAAGACAGGATAGGAGTAAAAGCCTCAAGCTTCAGCAGAGGAAATGGGGGTCAGAGATTAGGAGGAACTTTCTGACCATGAGGGTGGTCAAGCACTGGAGCAAGCTGTCTGGAGAAGTGGGATATCCATCCTTAGAAGCTGTCAAGAGCAGGTTGGACAGACACCTGGCTGGGATGGGTTAGTCAGGGATGGCCCAGCCTTAAGGAGAAGGGCTGAATTAGATGGTTTTGTGTGGTCCTTTCCAGCTCTACTTTCCTATGATTTCTATGATTTTACAAGGGTTAAATAACACTGTCCTTTATCATCCAAGCCCTTTTTACATAAGAGATTCTTTTGATTTATTCAATGAGTTTCTTGCAGTATAAACAACCTGATATGCCTTAGTACTGCCTTCCATCCCTCCAGAGCAGGGGTGGGCAAAACGCGGCCTGGGGGCCGGATGCGGCCCACCAGACCATCCTATCCGGCCCGCGGAGCCCCTAAAAAATTTAGGAAATTAATATACATCTGCCCCTGGCTGCCTGTCATGTGGCCCTCGATGGCTTGCTGAAATTCAGTAACCGGCCCTCTGCTCGAAATAATTGCAGGCCCCTGCTCCAGAGGGTGGAAGACAATGTGTCAGTCTAATGCAATGCTAGATGTCACTTGGAAGATCCAGAACCAGGCTGATCACAAATGTTGTGCCAAACCTGTCTTCTCCTCTTCCTGCTCCTACTAGTACTCCTACTACACCTACTACTACTATTACTATTACTACCACTACTACTACTTCTACTACTACTAATGTTGTCAACCAAATGAGCATCATTTGCAGGAATTGCTGGCTTCCCTTCTAAGTTTTGATTCTTTTTGTTCACCAAAAAATCAAAAGTTGGTGTCCAGTTTGTTTGATTTTTTGGTTACTTTTGGGTTACAATTTTGTCAGTTTGGCCAAAAAAAAAAATGTTTTCTTTCAATGGCAGAATCACAGATGTTGGGCTGGAAGGGACAGGTCATCAAGTTCAACCCCATGCTCAAGGCAGGATCTTCTCTATCTAAACCATCCTGTACAAATCCTTGCCTAACTTATTCCTAACATTATGTTCAACCAACCCCGTGGCATAGCTAGAAGGAAAATGGCTCCAAAGCAGCTGAGTTTGCCACAGGAAAAGCAGGGCTGCCAGTGTCTCATTGCTGCAGGGGGGTTAACATGCCCCTGAGAGATCCAAGGAAGTCACGTCCATGCTGCAGAAGAAGGAAGAAACCCCAAATGTTACCCCATAGTCCACATCAACCTGACCATGAGGTAACATTTCTTCAACTATGACAATAGGTCTGACCCTAAATGAAGGTGCCACACCCTCTAGCCAGGAACCTGAAGGTTTTAGCAGAGAAGATTTTGTAGATGTGAAGAATGGTCACCCTTAAGGGTAAAAATAGAAGGCAAAGAACAAGAAACCAAATTTATTCTTGTTTGGTTTTTTTTAAATAATGTGATTTTATAGGAAATATCAAGATTTGTTTTTTTTCTGGCCCAAGTCATATTTATGAATTGGGACTGGCAACACTGAGATAAGTGGGACTGGCAGCACTGCCAATAAATATCATTTAGGTCTTGTTTTCAGCCCCCATTTCCCCCAGAACTGAGCATAGAGCAGGCTGGGGATATTCCATTATTATTTCTTTTACACGGAAAGTGCGCTTTCTACAAAATTTAAATTCAACGTGTGAACGCGCTGTCTCCCATGGCACTTGAATGACCGCTCTACGACGACCCTGGAGCAATGCAGGGAGGCAGGACACACGTTCCTGTTAAATCAACTTTAAAACAGAATGATTCGCTGTTTCCAAACTGAGACGTGCAGCAACATTTGGTGGTATGGTTAGGGTTTGTCATTCCTCATTCTGATTCAGCACGAAACCACAGGCAAATTGAAATCAATCCAAGGGTGTCCCTTGACAATATTAACCCTGCTAAATCAACAGTGCGGGCTTACAATCACACCTTCATTTAACTTGGTACCACTTTGCATAGTTGTCCCCGTCCCGATAGACACTGGGGTGATGGGGTGAAGCCCCTTGGTTCCCAAAGACATTGCCACGAGAGTAATTTTATGCACATCCATTCCCGTGCATGAATTATTCTCAAAGGTCAAGGTCTGAAGAGTCTGGGCCTGCCAAAGATAGCAGCACTATTTGATATTCCCTTTCTACCTTGAACCTTTCCCAGCACCCCCATTCTCCTCCCCTACCCCTAGGGAAGCGTTTCCATGTATGCCCTTGTCCCCCTTTCCCATGTTCCCCCTTCCCCACTCTTCTTCTCCACTCTGGGAGGGACCTTTTTTGTGGTGTCAACACTGCAAACTCTGCTGGGATGATGGGTCGAGGTAAATGACCAAGTATTGTTATACCTAATTGGCTATAGGATGCTATTCACCAATCTTTGATCTTCCAACCATTACACAAATGGCCAAAGTAGCTAGGGCCTCCATCTGTGTCCTTCTGGTTTTTATAAAATTCACTGCAACCCACAGCTGCAGTGCCTGCCTCCTGCTAGTGCTTAGGGATGTTTCTCCTGGACTGCTGAGAGGCAGTAGGATGAGGCATTCAAAAGTTCAGGCAGACCCATGAGGGAAAGTGTACATGTGCATTAATGTGCTTTAGTTAATGCACATTAAATCTAGTACCTCCAGGCATTTATACACATACATTTGTCTGCTCCAACCCGCCCGAAATCCAGTGCGTTGGAGCAGACTCAATTAACTGAGTCTGTGAAGCATGCAAACTGATGCTCCCGGCGCTGTATCGCGTGGTGACATGCGCATCAGCGCTAAGAAAATGGCAGTGGTGTGCTTTGAAACTAAATCCCCTTTGATATGTTTTAGTTCAAAAGCGCACTGCTGCCATTTTCTCAGTGATGACGCGCACATCACCATTTATACAGATGCATATGATGCAGCACCAGGTGCCTTTAAAAGCTCCCAGCACTATGTCGCATGCATGTGTGCATACACCCTCTATTATGAAGTATTAGAAAAATGTGCACTAGGCTGTCTTAATGCCCGTCAACTAAAGAGCAGTTTTTTAATGATGCTTAGTGTGTATTAGCCTATTTTAATATGTATTAACTAAATAGCACTTTTTTTTAGTGATGCTTTAATGCACATTAAAATAAGCTAATGCACATTAAAGTGCACATGTAGATGTGCCCTGAATGTGTATCAGGGTTGAATGTCAGGCCACCTTGCTTCACTCAGCCAATTCACCGTGGATGTTTTTTCCCGGATTATTTTGGACTGGATTTTTGAGTGAATTTATAATTGGCCATGACCAATATTTACTGATGTGAAAAAGACTCTAAGTGTAACTGGACAGGAGCTTCTGCATGAAAAGCATTAAAAATAAATAAGCCCCAAGCTCCTTCTTTGAGAGACTGCTCTTGGCTCTCCAGGGACAGCACTCGGTGCTGCAAGAACACGGGGGAGGGAAAAGGAAAGAGCGAAACAAATCTGAGTGTCTTACCTTGGGCTGATGACTGGCTGAAATGTGAGGCACAATTCCTGGATCTGACCTTTGGCAGGAACATAAAAATAAAGCCCACGTGTTAATTTGGTGTGCTAGGCAAACAATCTGCTTTCTGCGCTGATTCTAAACCATTGCAATCTTTCCATCAGCTTTAGTGGTCTTTATCCCTGTCTGTCTTTTTCTGTTTCCAGCATATGATCTGCCCTTAGCTCACTCATCTGCATTTGCAAAACGCTACTATTTCCCTCTCCACCAGCGCACGGGTTGATTTGATGAGGCTGGAGTTACCAGCTCAACAGGATCCCAAAATGCTGCCGTGCGATATAATCCAGTTCATTGTTGCTTGATCCCTGTTAAGCGGTGCATGATACAGCAGACGAGCCCCCTGAGAAATTGCAAAGGCAATATTACTCCGGGGAGAAAGAACAGGATGCTCTTTGCCATAAATGCTCTTCGCTCGTGAATGCCAGGACGCCGAGTAGAAATGTGCTGTGACAAACTCTTGGGGTTAAGAACATGCCGTGGGGATCATGCTTCCTGGCTTTGCATTTGGAAAGGGCTTGAGGCAGGGGTGGATCCAGGGGCAGGGCAGTGATGCGGTTGAACCCCCCCTGTTATAACCTACCAGATTCCTTCTAAACTCTTCATTCCACAGGTGTTACCAACCCTCCCTCCTTCTTCATAGTCTTGATGCTTTCCTAATCAAGCTCGCCTTTCTTCTGGCATCCTGCTGCTGTCTGGTAATGTCACTCTTATTTCATAGCCTGGCAAACTGTTTTATCTCCAACTAGAAATGTTCATTCTGGGCTGGAAATGTTAACTCAGGTGACTATTAACTTGGGTGTGGAAATAACTTTCAGTGGGGACACTGAATGCATCGTTAAGATGCTCAAAAAGGCTAATTGTTGTTCCATGAATCCAAAAAGGAGCCACATGTTTACTTCTAATGACCACAGGACTAATGAAATGTCATCTTCTATTTTTTTGGCTGATTTGTTGCGTTTTTATATATAATATATAACACAGCAAATTGATGCACTTTCCAATAAAGTTTTATTTGCTTTGGCTTTGATCTTAAAGGGATGAATATATCCCAGGCCTCTAGCACATTAGTAAAGCTCCTAGTTTCTTTTGAACTAGAGAAAAATGGGTCGTGTTACATGTGAGGATGCACCACACCAGCTGCATCCCCCTTTTCAGAATCCCAGATCTGCCTGTGGCCCCGGAGCTGGGACGAAGTCGATTTCCATGAAATGTCTCCTACAGACAGAGTGACTTGTAGGTTGTAGTGTTTACAGGCTCAAGGGTTGGAGTCATTTACACCCATGCAATGAAGGTGGGTGTACAAATCAAATTAGGATTTGCCACCACACTGTACATTCTTTGCACAGGCATCCACGGTAATAGTACCCATGGTAATAAAGAACCAAGCCCATCCTATGTCTCCTCGATACAATGCAGAATAGCAACAAGGGACCCTCAAGCACATTATTCCATGCATAATAGGAGCACCCCTGGGCTCTTTATCGTGCTGGATATCAAGCACATTTCAAGGCCTGCTGAGAAGCAGAGCATCTAACTAGAGCAGAGGGGAGACATTTTACGGATAAGGAACTGAGTCAGAGATAGATTGCATGATATACCCAGGGTTGCATAACCCAGATCTCTTGAGTCTCAACCCAGAGCCTTAGCTCAAGATCAGTCTTCCTGAAAGACTGGAGATGCTTTCTCAGGGCTCACTCAGGGCTTTTTAGCTTGTTAGTTTTGCAAGAGTGTGCTGCTGGTAGCGACTGGTGCGCAGCCGCTCCGGGAACAGGGCCACTTTGCATCTTGCTGCTGATTTTGATGCCTAGCTTTGTGCTCCTGTGTTTGAGCATTTTGTCCTTGTTCTCTCTGCATCTTGGTTTTGCTTTCAGCAAAGTTTCCACTGTGGTTTCTGAGTTGACTGCCTCTGTGCCATTCTGCTAGTTGGCCTGGGGCGGGCTCCTGGCAATGGCCACACCAAAGTGGTCTGGACGCGGCCACTCCGGAGGAAAAACTCTGTCTCAATGTCACACAACAGAAACCACCACAGGCCTGAGGTGTTCTTCACTCGGGCCCTCTATTCGGTTTACAGATCCAGACCTCATTGTCTGCTGAGTCTGGCCCAAACAAATGATTGGGCCAGACTCAGCAGACCTTCCTTTGGCCACCGCAAGGGCTCACCACCATGATGCCATTTTAACCTCACGGCATCTCTTGCAGGTAGGAGAACATTGCACCCATTTTACGGACAGAGGTGAGAGGCAGGTAACTGATTGCAACTCGGTGCCTGAGTCAGAAGGAGGGTGCAGGTCTCCTGCATGGCAGGGCATTTGCTCACCCACTAGATCATCCTTCCCACCCTTTACCTGTTAGGTAATAAAAGGTAAGGAAATAAAAGGGCTCGAGGTATCATGGGCACATGCAAGCACTCCCTCATTTCACACCCAACTGTGTTGGTAGGGCTACTCAGACGGTAGACATAGAGCTGCTCACTTACCGGGGGTGGTGGTGGAGGCCTCTTCTTAGAAAACACGTGATGCTTTTGCTTATTCACGCCGTCGCAATGCTCCTTGGGCATATGCTGGTTTTTGCTCCCAAGTAAACCCATCCTGCGAGGAAAAAGGCAGAAGATCATGGCATGACACCACTCCTAGACGAAAGGGGTGAACCAGCAGATGGGAAGAAATGAGAGCGTAGGGAGTGGTGGGGAAAGCAGAGCTCAATGGGTGCAATGGAGTTTGGGCCAAAGGGTTTCAGGGCATTTCTGTGTGGTTGCACCTCCGTGCCTCGCTCAGATGCAACTCAGGAGAGCTGCGTCTGAGCGCAGCAGTTCACGCGGGTACCACAACCTGCTTTGCCACGGCAGCGCAGGCCCGCCTGAGACTCTGGGAGAGTTTGCATTAGCGGAAGCCCCTGCCACCGCAGCTCTCCCGGTACCCAGACGAGTGCCTTCACAGCTACCTTGCATAAATCTGCAATCGCACCTGGGGACTGCAGCATACATCAGCTCACAGGGACCCAAGCAAGGTTGCGCAAGTGGAACTGAGGCAGAGCAATGACCTGGAGATGAACCCCCCAGGGGCTGGTAGTAATGCCCTGAACACTGGACCAGCTTTCCTTGAATCCTCCTTCTCTTCAGAGGCAACAGAGGGACTTGGGTGGACACAGAAAAGATTTCACCCAGAGCTAGCTGTGCCGAAAGAGTTTAGTGCTTAGGCTGAACTTTTTCACAGGACAAGTGTGAACTGGTTCAAATTGTCTGTATTTTCCACTTCTGCTTTAAAACCCCCCACCCAAGCATTTCTTACTGGGAGCTGAAGGGTTTCACCCCAAGTCATGCAATGATGATTTTTAGAAGGCAATTCCCAGGCTGTAAGATCTGCCTCTTGATTTCTGAGCTGCATTTGCAACTGGTTGTGATCATTACAATGCTGCAGCTCTTCCCAAATTCAAAGAGGAATGGGCATTAGCCCTGCAGATGCCTTCGCTGGCAGAGTCCAGGGAGATCACGGATTCAATGTGAAATGCTGCTTCATGGCTCTGAGCTTTCAACATCACCCCGTGCTTCAAGTTCAATCTAATTTGGCTTCTCTACAGCCCCACATCTTTCTATTCCCCATCCCCACAAGACCTAGGTACCCCCAGACCCACGTTGGGGAGGACCGAGGTGTAGCTGTGCTTGTATTCTGCCATGGGTATTTCCCATGCTTCTGGGCTTTTCTGCTTCCACCTCCCCACCCTTTTCTGCATGGGCAATCGATGCCTCCCGAGTCTGGGGGGGCACCAGATCGCTGGTGTGGGGATAGGGGGATCCGGTTTCATGGGTGGCACTTCCAGGGGGTGCACGGCTGATTTCAGGGGGTGCACATGCACCCCCGTGCACCCCCTACACATCACCACTGCTTTGCTGTTACATGTTAAGCCTTGCTAGAGACATGGATGTTGGTTACAGCCAAGGCTGCAGACTTTGACTGGGTTGTGCCAATGCTTCTGCTGGGATCTTGGCTAGAGGGTCTTGCCCCTCCACTCAGGGTCAGACTGATGCCATATTTAGGGTCAGGAAGGGATTTTACCCCATGGTATGGACTGTGTGGGATTTTGCCTTTCTCTGGAGCGGAGGGCATGGAAACTCTTGAGCATATATTGGCGATGTTTCGTAGAAGCAGGAGGTTGACTGCCACGGTCCCGCTGCTTTACCTGTGGCAGGTTAGGGTGTTAAGTCTGTGTTATGCTAGGGTTGATGCTCATCTTATGTAGAGTTTAGATGATGGTTTGGATGGGATGGTTTGGATAGGGCTGATCCTGCCTCAAGCAGGGCCTGGGACTAGATGGGACCCCTGGAGGTCCCTTCCAACCTGACTCCTCTGTGATTCCCTGACTCCAGGACAGCGGTTCCCAAACTCTGACAGATTGCACGCCACCCATTTAAAATGATGCGGCCTTAAGTTTATGAGGCAGGGGCGTGCTCCGCCCATCTCATGCACCTGTCCCAATGGGATGCTCTTGCCCAGGCAATGGGCAAAGGCAACAGCTGCCAATCAAAGGGCAGGTGTCTGGAGGCTTTCCTATCACTTCCAGCCCATGTTGCTGCTCACAGCATGATCAATCCATGGACAGTGGTGCAGCTAATGCAAATATGGCGTCCCCCGCTGGAGCAAGAATCACACAACCTAGTCTTCTACATAAAGACATCGCTTGTCACGCAGCAGTCTCCTCTGGGATAATGCTTGGCTGCAGTCGTATAACTAGGGCAGGGCGAGTGGGATATTAACCCCAGATGCTGATTTAGAGGTGTTCCCCACCCCTGTTCTCCGGCATTTGTCATCCCTTGCTCTGCTTTCCAGCACTCGACGGCATCTCTGCATAGGGCGATGATTCTCAATCAGGTGCCGCAGCACCCTGGGGTGCTGCGAGATCGTTTCAAGGATGCCACGGAGTGCTGGCACTATGAGTGTGCACGCATGATTTGCACACAGAGATCCAGTGATTTCAGATAGAAATGTATAGTGGTAAACTATTCCGACCTGTTGGGCTTTCTGAGTTCTTTGCAAGGAAGAATTGCTCTAGTATTTTTGTGTGGTCACAAAACAAGTGAAAAGTAAGAGCTGGCCTTTTCTCAGGGTGGCCTTGGGTCTAAAGAGGGGGCCTTACGTCTACAAAGGTTGAGAACCACTGGCCTAAGGTACCAAAATTGCAAGTTATGTCTCTGCCTGGCTGTAGTTTAACAGTGCAGTGCAGCATCCTGCTGCTGCAGAGACCCAAAGGCAAAGGATTTCCAGTGAAAAGGGGAGTTTCCAGTTAGCCGAGAGTAAAGAGCAGAATGGATGAGGCCAGCTGCTCCACCCTTGTCAATAAAGCCATGCAGGATCTGACCTGTGCATAAGTACTCAGGAGGAGACTTCTGCAGACTCTCCCCTATCTAGACTGCCAGGGAGCTCCCAGCATGTGTGGTTTTTTTAAAAAGTTTGTTTGGGAAGAGTCACCTTCAGATGGAAGTGTTGTAACCCAAAATGTTGGGGGCAAAAGCCTAAACCTCCAGAACCGTTTCTCACGGAATGAAATATGCTGTTTGCATTTTGCACACTTTTTTACAATACAAATCACAGCCAATTTCAAAGAGAAAAATTACTTTGAATAGAAAGCTCATGTTCCAACTTGATCAGAAGCCCGCCCCCCCAACCCCAAATATTTGGTGGAATTGAAATGAATTTATGATGTTCTGGTTCTCCTAAACCTGCATTGATTCACTGATAAAAGTGTCACCCTCCAAAACTGGCTGAGCTCCAGCAGGGACTTAACTTTCCAGATGATCTGCTCATCAGTACCAAGCTGCTTCTCACCGCCGTAACCTCTGATTTGGCTGGGAAAAGTAAATCAGCTGCTTGCTGCAGCCCCTTGTTTTGAATTGGGCACCTGGTCTCCCATCTAGGCACTGACCAGATCCATCCCTGCTGAGCAGAGCCAGTTGATTATTAGCAACAAGCCACTGATTTACTGAATTCATCACTTCTTTCCATCCATCTGCATATTTGTCCATGAACAGATAGGGATTTCCCTGCATTTGTCCACTATATGAGCATGGCAATATGTTTTAGCCACTGTTTGCTGCTTATACCTAAGTGGGCATGTGGCATTCAGGATTTACTGTTCCAGGTGTATGGAAGCTGCAGCTCATTGCTCCTGATCCTTAGATAGATGGTGGTAAAACCATTTATTTTTCCTCCATTCTCCACTGCCAGTCTCTAAAAGACATGACCCACTGAAGGTTCGTATATGGTCCCTATTACTGTGGCATCTAAGGACCTCACTGTCTTCAAGAGCACTCACTTTTGCTGCACTCCTGGGAGGTAGGGAAAAACTATTAGCTGCATTGGACAAAGGGGAAACTGAGGTACAGAGTTTTAGTGACTCATCTCTAGCATGACAAAGCAAGGACTTGAACCCACAGAGGATACAGCCTAGGCATCTGGCCTACACACCACCTTACTCTTCCTGTCCAGATATAAATGCACCAGTCAAGGGTTGGCAGTATTGCAAGCAAGCAGGTGCATTTGCACAACTACCAGTTCCTACTCAAGCGTTGGTGCCAACAGAAATGGTTCTCATGAAACTACGTAGAGGAGCAAAGCAGCCAAAATGGGAAATGGAATTTATGAAATATCTGCAAATAAATCCCCCCCGCCGCTCTCTGCCCACCTCTCCTGCTTCGTTTGTGAGATGTAAAGGAGGTCACACATCAGCGTGGGGCTGCTGCAGGTCTACGTTAGATCTGCTCCTATACAGATCGCACATGCTGGATGCATGCTGTGGCCTGGACAAGCAGCAAGGTTGGTCCTGTGCATAGATGAGTATTGCCCACACTCCTAAGACAGCAGGGTGGGTACAACATAGTGGGAAGTCACTCATCTCAGCTTCAGAGCTGGTCAGGATTTTTTCTACCAAAGTTTATTTTGTCCAAAAATGTAGGGCAGTGGGAAATAGCTTTTGTTTGAAAGTGAAATGGTTGTTGCGTTTTCTTTTTAAAATATCAGAAATCAGCCCATCTATTTTTTTTCAATTTACCCCCTTTTCTGATTACATACTCCCCCCCTTCTTCCCTTGGAAAGGGAGAGGGGAATAAATAGAAAAGAGAAAGAGAACAGGGGAAAGCATGTGTTGAAAGTGTGTATAAAAAGAAAAATTATAAACCCAAAATATTGTTTATAATTGGATGGTTCTTGTTTAGAAAGGCTGAAACAAAATTTTGAAAAAGAGTGATACAACTTTGGTTATGCTTTTCAACTGGTTTATTATAAAACAGTTTGAACATCTCTATCCCGGTTTGTTTTTTTAATTTCCCCTTCTCATTTTTTCTAATGAAAAAAAATAGGGAGAAATAGCAAAAACTTAGAGAGAGGAAAAGTCCTTTCTCTCACTTTTAGCTTCTTTCATTTCTTGGAGATCTCAGAATAGCAGAGACGCCCCTATGCCTGAAGAAGCGTGCTTGTGCCCAAAAGCTTGGAAATAACTTTTTTGCAATTACTCATTTGGTCTAATAAAAGATATCACATCTACCCAAAGAAGTGTGCCTGCCTATTTCTGTCATTTATTTATTTCTCCTACTTGAAAA